CCTCAAAAAGCTAAACATAGTTACTGTATGATCTAGCAGTTCCATTCCTAAGTATATATGGAAGAGAGTGAGACATATTCCTATGAACCGACTGTGTCCCTCCCTAAGTCATGTGTTGAAGTTCTAACTCTCCGTGTGACGGTGTTTGGAGGCGGGGCCATTGAGAGGTAATTAGGTTAGATGAGATCATGAGGGTGGGGCCTCAGGATGGGATTAGTGTCTTGATAAGAAGAGGAAGACATGGCTGATTCATGTCAACGTATGACAAAAGGCACTACAATATTGTAAAGTAATTAGCCTCCAACTAATAAAAATAAATGGGAAAAAAAAAGAAAGAAAGAAAAGGATCAGGGAAAAAAAAAAGAAGAAGAGGAAGAGATGAGTACATTTGAAACTAACCCAACATTGTAAATCAACTAGAGTCCAATATAAAATAATTAAAAAAAGAAAGCCATTACCAGAACCATTTTTAAAATAAACAAACTGATAAATTTGGCCCTGTGCTGTGCTCAGCTCTTTCTGACTCTCTGTGACCCCATGGACCGTAGCCCACCAGGCTCCTCTGTCCATGGGGATTCTCCAGGCAAGAACAGTGGAGTGGGTTGCCATGCCCTCCTCCAGGGGATCTTCCCAACCTAGGGATCGAATCCAGGTCTCCTACATTACAGGTGGATTTTTTACCATCTGAGCCACCAGGGAAGCCCAAGAATACTGGAGTGGGTAGCCTATCCCTTCTGCAGTGGAACTGCCCAACTTAGGAATTGAATCACGGTCTCCTGCATTGCAGGCGGATTCTTTGCCAACTGAGCTACCTGGGAAGCTAAATTTAGCCTTAAAATGCATTAGGTTTCTTCACCATAGAACTATGCCACAAAAAGCTTGATTATAACTTTTCAGTTGAATCACATGTACTATAATTAATTGGTTGATTCCTATTACAGATAAATTCATAAAACCGAAGCTGAAATAAATTGTGTTTTCAGACAATGCAATATAAGTTTTTAAGGATATTGAGTGAGACATTATAGTGAGTTGGCTGGTTCCCATTTTACAGTGCAGCAGAAGATAACCAGAATGGATTCTCAAGACTTCATCTTCAAGACTTGAAAATGAAACTGGCCAATGGTAGTCAGTGTTTGGCTATTGTTAAGTTTACCCCCCAAAATATTTGATAAATGAATGAATCCTTTTTACTCTTTATTTTGAATTTTTTTGACTCAAAAAAAGAAAAAGCAAAGAGGAAGAGGTGCACTTTCTCTCCCTCCCTCCCTCCCTGTCCGTCTCTCTGCTATATACAGACACAGCAAGAAGGCAGCCATCTGCAAGCCAGAAAGAGAGCCCTCACCACAACCCCACTGTGCTGTCACCCTGATCTCAGGCTTCCAGTCTCCAGAACTGAGAGAAATGATTTCTGTTATTGAAGCTACCCAGTCTATGTTATTTTGTTATAGAAGCCCAAGCTGACTAAGACGGTATTTCCACATTAAAAACTCATGCCTGAATGTTCACAGCAGTATTATTCATAATAGCCCCCAAATGGAAACAATCCAAATGTCCATCAATTAGTGAGTGGAGAAAAAAAAATGTCACACACATTTTTTTTTTCAGTAGTCATGTACGGATGTGAGAGCTGGACCATAAAGAAGGCTGAGCACCGAAGAATTGATGCTTTAGAACTGTGGTATTGGAGAAGACTCTTGAGAGTCCCTTGGACTGCAAAGAGATCAAACCAGTCAATCCTAAGGGAAATCAACCCTGAATATTCATTGGAAGGACTGTTGCTGAAGCTCCAACACTTTGGCCACCTGATGAGAAAAGCCAATTCATTGGAAAAGACCCTGATGGTGGGAAAGACTGAGGACAGGAGGATAAGAGGGTAACAGAGGATGAAATGGTTGGATAGCATCATAGACTTAATGGATGCGAATTTGAGCAAACTCCAGGAGATGGTGAAGAACAGGGAAGCCTGGCATGCTGCAGTCCATAGGGTCGCAAAGAGTTGGACGCGACCTAGCAACTGAACAACAACAAAATCTGTACAGTGGAATGTTATTTGGAGGCAGGGAGGCAAGGAACATTCTGGAGTGGGCTGGGAGCTACACCCATGGGCACAGAGGTGTGCAGAGGTAGGAGGTATGGCTGGGAAAGGCCTCAGGGATCTTGGTCAGATGGCTAAGGGGAGGATGGAACAGGAAGGGAAGGAGCCCGTCCGGATGAGAGGTTGAGTGGAGGTGGGAGAGGCGGAGTTGGGAAATATTTAGAAGGAAGAAGATAGGGACTTGGTGGCTGACTGGTTACGGAGGGAGAGGCGCCTCGGGTGCTTGGAGGTGCTGTGCCCTGAAATAGGGGGAGGGGCTGGTGTCAGTTTTGTTGCAGGCAGGCTGCACTTGGGGTGCCTGGCAGGCACCGATGTGGGTGGACATTTGCACTTGGAACTCAGAAAGAGCACTTTGGGCTGCTGACAGAGATCTGGGTGATGCACTTGCTGGCTTCGTGACTGAGTCCCCAGAGTGGATTGGATGAGGATCGTCAGGGAGGGTGGAGAGAGAGGGCAGTGGGCCGGGGACATTTACAGGCTGGGCAAAGACTCATGTTGCTTCGAGCAAAGGATGGTGTGTCTCTAGGATGACAGGCAGTTCAGAAGTCCACTCACATGAGAGCTGGGCATGACCACCGGACTTAGCATCCAGGCAGGCACCAGAGGCTGTTTCTAGGGCAGCATTAGGGCAGACGCCCGGCTGTCAGAGGACCTGGGGCTTCTGCTGAGAGGGAGAGAGAGACTTGGGGAGGGGGCCCCCTGTGACAGCCCTTATCAGCTGTGCTACCCTCACTTATTTTTGTCTGTCCCCCAACCAGATGGCACTTCAAGACAGCAGATACTATTTCTATGTATCTTTGTGTCTCCAGACAAAATCCAACTCATCTTAAATGTATTCACTGTATACCTTCTGGCTTGCAGTGGAGGGTTTATGACTGAGCTCAGACTTCTGGTGGGCTCACAGTAGATGCTCAGACCGTGTACATGAAGCTCTGCCACCAACCTGCCCTGTGACCTCAGGTGAGTTATGACATCTCTCCAGGAATTTGCTCATTGGTAGTAGGTAATTTTTTTCCTTCTTTCTCTTTCTTTTTAAAAATATTAATTTATTTGGCACCAAGTCTTAGTTGCAGCATGCAGGATCTTTTAGTTGCAGTACGTAGAACCTAGTTCCCTAAGGATGGAACCCGGGTCTCCTGCATGGGGAGCTTGAAGTCTTAACCAATGGATCACCAGGGAAGTCCTCACAGTAGTGCTTTCTGATAGCATGTGATAGACTGTGATGATTTCAGGACTTCTGTGTCTGTGGCTACATTACTGATCACACGCCAAACTCCTGGCAGGGTCAAAAACCTAGCCCACAGGGGTTCCTGTGGGAACCCACTTCCCAAGACCTTCCTGCCCCAGGTCCTCCTCCCACTGTCCTGCCACAGGTCCCCCTCCATCGTGGTCCCAAGGCCCTGAGCACTCTGCCCTCTGCCGGCCTCTCCAGCCTCACCTTCCACCCATGCCCCTGGCTTTGTGGGCTTCAGTCACCGTAGTCTTCGCTCAGATTTTGTTCTCCTCGCAAGCCTCCCTGCCTCAGAGCCTTTGCTCATGCTGTTCCCTCTGACTAGACACCCTTCCCTGACTTCCTCAGCCTGCTGAGTCCTCCTTGTTCTCTAGTGCTTGGCTCAGATGTGACTTCCGTGAAGGCATCTTGGGCCTCTGGGGGATGGTCACACCCCAGTGACACACCTTCAGAGCACCCTGCACATTTCCCAGCTCCCATAAAAACATGCTTAGCCAAATAGTTTGGTGCTTAATATTCATCTAGTTCTGCCCTTAGACCTGTGAGAGGGGGTCCCTGTCCTGACATGGGTCTCACTTTAGACGGTTCTACTGTGGTACTGGAGAAGACTCCTGAAAGTTCCTTGGACAGCAAGGAGATCAACCAGTCAATCTTAAAGGAAATCAACCCTGAATACTCACTGGAAGGACTAATGCTGAAGCTGACATTCCAATACTTTGGTTACTTGATGCAAATAGCCAACTCACTGGAAAAGATACTGATGCTGGGAAGGACTGAGGGTAGGAGGAGAGAGGGGCAAGAGAAGATGAGATGGTTGGATGGCATCATGGATTAATGGACATGAACTTGGGCAAACTCTGGGTGATGGTGAGGGACAGGGAAGACTGGCATGCTGCAGTCCATGGGGTTGCAGAGTCGGACATGATGGCAACTGAACAATTCTGGACATTCTCTGTGCCTCTCCACCCAGGATGAGGAATCTGTGGGGTCCCCTTAGAGCCCAGGCCCATCCCTTTAGACCATGCTCCTGACATGTGGGACCCCACGTCCCTTCCCTCAGAGAGTGGACTGTGTGGGGCGACCAGGGAACAGCAGTTTGTACTTGTGGTTGGAATATCTACCTGTGTGTCCCTCTCCTTGGGCCAGGGTGCCCAGAGGGTGGGAAGATTAGGGGTGAGGCTGGGTTGAGAGCAGAGCCAAAGACGTTAACGTTAGAACCTGGCTTTCCAGGTCACTGTAAAAATCTATTTGTCAGAGTAGGAGAATTACGACGTCCCCGGTGGTCCAGTGGTTAAGAAACCACCTGCCAGTGCAGGGGACATGGGTTCGATCCCTGGTCTGGGAAGATGCCATAGGGCAACTAAGCTCGGGCGCCACAACTACTGAGTCCGCATGCTGCAGAGCCTGTGCTTGGCCACAAGAGCAGACACTGCAATGAGAAGCCTGTGCACCGCAACCAGAGAGCAGGCCCCGCTCTCTACAACTAGAGAGCCGGAGCACAGCAGTGAAGATGCAGCACGGCCAAAAAAAAAAAACAATGACAAAGTAGGAGAATAGAACACATTTTATTGATTCAGCTTGATTTATAACTTTACAGCATGTTGACGTATGATATGAAGCCTCCATCTGTACTCTTGCCCCAGGCCTGCTGGCATTAGCGGTGGGCTTGGGTCAGTCCCACCCACCAGGCCAGAAGCTCCACCAGGGAGGCAGAGTGCGGTACCCCTGCCCCAGAGCACAGTGCCTGGCACAGAAGAGCAGATAATAAATATTGGCTGTGAGAAACGAGGGAGGTAATCCAAGTAGGATGCTTGGCTTGGTACAAATGTCAATAAATATTAGCTTCTGTTGTTTGAACACATCAACGGGTGAGCGGGGGAAGGAGGCTGAGACCCACAACCTGAGGTGGTTTGTGTCTAAGAAGGGAAGCGGGCCGATGACGCCGGGGTCGGGTTCACACTTCCTTTCCTGAGGTCGTGCCTGCCTTCCCCCTACCCCGCAGGTCTCTCTCCCCAGTTCTTCACCAGGTGGGCACCAGGGAGGCATGCCTGTCAGGGAGGGCACTGAGAGGGCTAGGATAGCTCCTGCCAGTGCCATCACGCCTCCCCCCAGAGAAGAACGGCTGGGGCAGACTCCCTCTCTGACCTCAAGGAGCGTCTCAGACAGAACCCACCAGCCTAGTTTCACTGCTTTACCCATAAGGCCATGCTGGGGGGTGGGGGGAGAGATGCGGGGTTAGCTAAAAAGGCTGGGGTCACCTTCACAGGAAGCTGTGCTCTGGTGTGACAGAAGGCTGAGCTGGGGAGTCCAATCACCCACCAGACCCTGAACAAGTCACTTTGCCTCTGTTAGCCTCAGTTTCCTCATCTGTAAAATGGGATTGTGAGTAGAAATGGTGTGTGTCAAGTGGCAGGAGCAGGGTACACATTTAGTGACCGGGAAGAACCCTCGCACAGAGCACAAAGTGGATCAAGGGAAGGCAGAGACCCAGAACTCCAACTGAGAAGGGGATGAAAATGGTGCCCAGTCAGCCTGTGGCTAAGCCCGGCAGGAGCTTCGGCCCAGAGACCTAGGGAAAGGCAAGTTCAGCCGCCCACTGGAGGCCCGGATCAGTCCTGTTTCAGCAGCAGGGAAGCTGTCGCTTGCTGCTTCATGATGGCACAGTGCCACGCACAGGGCCGGGGACCCGCAGGGTCTTCGTGAAGGCCTCCACCAGGTGCAGGCCTAACGAAGCCAGGAAGGCCCTCAGCCATTTCGGCCCGGCATCAGCTGCTGTCCCAGAAAACTCGCCCCCAACCCTGCATTCTCGGACGTGCCCAGTAGGTGGAGCTGTGGTAAAGGACAGACCCCAATTAACCTACGAACAGGCCAACTCCGGGGGAGGGCGGGAGCACAATTTGCGAACTGCCCACCAGGGGTCACCATACCCTCAGAACCGAGGGGGTGCAGAATTCGCACCCGCCTACGGTCTGGAGGGAGGCGGAGGTCTCAGAGATCAACAGTCCAGCCGCGTGGCCTCCAGCTGCCCATGCAGGCCCACTGTCGCTGCCCCCACTCCCAGGTTCAGCGGCGGGGGTGGGGCTGGGGGCCCGTGGTCAGGGCGGCGGGAAGATGTCCGAGCACTGCTGTAGAATGAGCTCTACCACCTGGTTCTGGAACACCATGGTCATGGGCATGCTGGCTTCCTCCGTCTCGGGCCGCAGCAGCGTGGGCCCGAAGACTATGGCCACGTTCTGCACGGACATGCGGTTCCGTTCTCCGTGCTCGATCACCCTGCAGCGGGGGTGATGGGGTTGGAATCAGGGCCCAGAGCTGGGGGGAGAGGGGTCGGGTCCCCTCAGGCCCGCCTGCCCATTCCCGCGCAGCTCCCCGCGCTCACCGGCACAGATGCTGAAAGAGCGCCCGCAGCGTGTCGTGATTGGGGGCGGGCAGCGAACGCACCAGGTCCCGCACACAGCGGAAACGCTTGGCTGGATCCTGCAGCTCTGGGGAAGGGACGGGTGGGGGGGGCGGTGTGTAGGGGGAAACAGAGGGCACTGACTTCGGTATTTGCGGGAGGGGGGCCTGGTCACCGCAGGAGCGTGCGTAGGGCAGCCCAGCCCCACCCGTACCCCATCCGCCCCACCTCCCCCAGGCGCTCACTGATGGCCGCGAGGAACTGCCGGAAGTGTGAGAAGGGGAAGAGGGGCTCGGGCAGCTCTCGAAAGAAGAGCTTCAGGGCGCCGGTGATAACATGAACGTCCTCCCAGCGCCCGTCTTCCAGGTCCAGACGTTCATCTGCGGCGGGGGGTTGGGGGGTAGAGGGGAGGGAAGAAGAGGTCAGCTCATCCCTTCAAGCGCCTTCAGGCCTGGGGCAGAGCCAGGGGGCGGGCCTCACCGTGGTCCACCTTATAGCGCAGCTTCTGGATGGTGGCCAGATTTCCACTGATGCGGTACAGACCGTCGATGTCCAGCCCTGGAGCGGAGGGAGGCACTGACCTCGGGTTCGGTGGGCTGGCGCTAAAGCCCTTGCTCTGATTCCTGCTCAGAAGCTCTCGTTCGTTCCCCCTCGACCCTGCGCCCCACCCGCTCCCTGGAGGTCCCCGTCTGGGGTTCTGGAAGGAGGCCTTCGGGCTCCTTCGGGAATGCCCGGCCGGGCGCGGTTACATACCCCGGGCCTCGACGGCGCGGATGCTCTGTTGCACGAAGCGCGGCACTGGGCTCTTCTCGCGCTCACACAGCTCGGCCAGCGGACAGCCGAACACCTGGTCTGGGGGAGAGGCTCGTCAGCGCCGCCTCGCCCCTGGGCCACCGGCGCCCCGCTCTCCGGGTCCCTCGGGTACCTTTGATGTAGCCCTTTTCCCGCAGCGACTGCAGCGTGGGCCGCCTCAGCAGGAACTTGCGGAGCTTCTGCCGGACCTTGCTGATGTCACTCTCCAGGCCTCCGGGCCCCGGGGTGGGCGGCGCTGCCCAACGCCAATGGGAACGCGAGGGCTGGGTCAGTCGTTGGCACCACGGCTGGTCGGCCCGGCCTGCGGCCCCAGCCGGGTGGTCGCCGCTCCCCTAAAGGATGTCTGCCATCCGCTTCCACCCGCCTCACTCCCGCCCAAGCACACCTGCACCAGGCCGTGGCTCATCCTCCCGCCAGCTTCCTAGGCGCTCACTGGACCCAAAGTCCACGCCGCTGCTCTCACTTTCCTCCTCGGGAGGCAGGTCTGCGGACTAGAATCACACAGCCTCAGAGAGGCAGAGTTTGGGGCCAACTGGTGGGCGCGGGGGTGGGGAATCCTGGGATGGGGTGAGGGACTGAGATGCCCTCCCAGCAGACTTGGACTGAAGACCCCTAGGCAGAGTTCTCTGTTCCCTTATCAAGGTCAACTCAGCTATACTTCCATCAAGGAACCCCATTCACGCCCCCCACCCCCCTTAGCTGCATGGAGCCCTCCAGGTGTTGGAGTCAGGCATCCTGTTCTCCCCCACCTTTTCTCATCCTGACTACCCCTACCCACCTCCTGGTTCCTGGCCCCCTTTCACCATCATTTTCCTTAGCTCCTCTGTACACACTCCACTAGGTCAGCATTTCACAATACGTGGCTCCCAGTTCAAGTTTGCAGTGTGAGCTGGGACCAGAGCACTGCCAACCACCTCACCAGCATCACCTCTCTGGATCTGGATTCCTACCATTATTAATACAGGCAAGCAGGGCATCCAGTGTTGCCTATTTCCTTAATAGGGAATTAAGGATCAAAAAGCCCCAGGCTGTTTCCAGGTGAAGAGCTGTCAGAATGGGCCTGCCCCATCTCTACTTATGCAATTGCTATTTTGAATTTTAAAAAATGGTAGACCCATCAATTCAGTCCTTTTAAATGATGTCTTCTGGTTTCAGCCTTTCTCTCCAGCTTGAAGTTGTTTACCAGAGTATTTACTTTTCTCCTGCCTCAGTGTGGAATGGGTCACTACTCTAGGATACGTTCACCTGGACAGGCCTCCCATAGGGCCAATCCCAGGGGCTGGATTCACTTACTTAAGAAAGGCTGTTTCTTCAGCAGCCCATCTGCATCTGCAGAGAGGACTACTTACCTACCAGTGTCATGGAGCTCCCAATACCCAAGTGGAGGGCCCCACCCACAGTGGGCAGCTGCCCTGCATAATGGCTGGCCATCCCCTCCCCACCAGCTCTGGCAGCCCCCAGCTCTGCCTACCATCTCCTGGATGCCCTGGATGATGGCACTGTGCCAGGTGCTGATGATGGCCTCCGAGTCATGCTGGATCAGGTATTCTGAGCCATCTCGGGTCTGAAGCTGGTGGGACACAAGTCACTCAGTCATCTCTGGTTTCCTGGGCCTGCCCCAGGGCTAAGCCCCAAGGGGGATACAGGGGTAGAGGTGATCTATTCCTGTCCCCAGGAACTCAGAGACTAATAGAGCCAGGGCCTTTCCCCAAGCCAAGATATTCCACCTCCTTAAAGAAGCAGGTAACAGCATCTCTGTGTTACAGATGAGCAAACAGGCTCAGTGAGTTTAAGCAACTTCCTTGTGGACACACAGCTAGTGACTGATGGAGTGAGGATCTGAGTGCAGCAGAACTGCATGGCTTAGCCATCTGGTGTGCCTTCCCTTACCCCATCCTGCCTCCCCATGGGAGGCCTACCCAGAGCACCAGCCAGCAAAAAAATCAATGAAAGGAACTCCATGTGGCAGGCCCCAAAGGCACTACTCTATACTATTGAGTTGCAAGCAGATATTAACAACCTGGGCTCTTTATCAGTTGACTGCTGTTTCTGTAACAAAGTCTACGAAGAACAAGGCTAACTTGGATGGATCTCTCCTTGGCCTCTGGCTCTGAGAACCAAGCCTTCAAGGTGGATGGGAATGGTTGGTTGCGGCAGCTCATACCAGCCATGCCTTTGGGTCCTGTGAGAGTCAGAGTCAGCAAAAACTGAGGGTCTTCCCTGGTGGTCCAGGTAAGAATCTGCCTTGAATGCAGCAGACACCAGTTGGATCCCTGGTCTGGGTACTAAGATTCCCCCATGCAGCAGAGCAACTAAGCCCATGCACCCCAACTAGAGAGTCCATGCACCTCAATGAAAGATCCAATATGACACAACAAAGAACCTGTGTGCTGTAACCAAGACTTGACACAGCTGAATAAATAAATAAACAGATAAAACTGTCTCAGACAGTTCATAGCTTCCAGACTCAGCGCAGTGCTTTGGCTGTCTACTTATTTAACTTAGACTTGAATGGAATTTAAAATGCTTTCAAAGGCAAAACAAAACAAACCTGCATGTTCTACTCCATCCTCCTCCCTGCAAAGACCAGAGAACCTTCAGTGGGCAGAGAGCACAACCTCATTCTAATCTAAACTGACAGGGGCCCTATCTGTTATTCCAGAGAATGAATGGCCTAACAATGCTTCTAAAACAATTGCCATTCTTTTCAGCAGCTGTCTCAAAAGCGGTAATCAGTTCACATTCGAGTTTCATACGGAAGGCAAATCTGTCTAGTTACGTATCAGTATATTGTACAAGACATTTATTCTGTTGAATGCACAGGCAGGCAGAACTCAAGCCAGCCATTGTCAGGGGATGCTAGGACAACTCGGAAGACTAGCCAATCTTGATGATACAGTTTTTAGGGCGGTCTCTTGTAAAAGGGCTTCCCAGGAGGCACTAGTGGTAAAGAACCTGCCTATTAATGCAGGTGAGATGAAAGAGTTCTATATCTGGGTCAGGAAGATCCTGTGGAGGAAGACATGGGAACCCAGCCCAGTATTCTTGCCTGAAGAATCCCATGGACAGAGAAGCCTGATAGGCTACAGTCCATAGGGTCGAAAAGAGTTGGACACAACTGAAGTGACTTAGCATGCACACATGCTTGAGAAAAATCTGAAGTTGCCTATAGGTGGCAGGCTTCCCTGATAGCTCAGTTGATAAAGAATCTGCCTGCAATGCAGGAGACCCCGGTTCGATTCCTGGGTCAGGAAGATCCTCTGGAGAAGGGTTAGGCTACTCACTCCAGTATTCTTGGGCTTCCCTTGTGGCTCAACTGGTAAAGAATCTGCCCGCAATGCAGGAGACCTGGGTTGGAAAGAGCCCCTGTAGAAGGGAAAGGCTACCCACTCCAGTATTCTGGCCTAGAGAATTCCATGGACTGTACACCCATGGGGTCACAAAGAGTCAGACACAACTGAATGACTTTCACTTTCACTTTCTTTCCACCTCTGAGTGGAGGGAAGATGACTGCCAGCCACTGGGAAGCGGGGGACTCCAGGATTTCCATTCCAGACTGTCAGCCTTCCTGTCAGCTTGAGGCGCTTCCAAGAGCACCATCTGCCTTCTGGTCTTTGCCAGAAAAGACAACTCAGAAGGGTCTACTCTGAAACTTTCATCAAAAGCCCAGTCAGAGAGGTGGCATTCAGAGAGGGCTGTTTGAAGGCTTGCCCTCCAGCTCAAATGTGATGTCCCTCCTCAATCTGACGTTCACAACAGACATAGTTAGTCGATCGTGGAGCTCTACTCTGTCAAGTCTGGAGAAGGCTCCAGACCTGATCAGAGCTCAGGAGATACAAGTGCTCTGTTGCTCTGTGGATTGTTGTTGTTTAGTTCTTAAGTCATGTCACACCCCATGGACTGCAGCCTGCCAGGATCCTCTGTCCATGGAATTCTCCAGGCCACAATACTGGAGTGGGTTGCCATGCCCTCCTCCAGGGGATCTTCCTGACTCAGGGATTGAACCCGCGCCTCCCTCATTGGCAGGCAGATTCTTTGCCACTGAGCTATCAGGGAAGCCCCTGCGCTGTGGATACTCTGATTCTAAAACTGAGTGAAGCTGGGTGAACCATCATTACACAACACACTCAAGCTCCTTGCAGAATTGCTTTTTCTGAGCTGAAATGGAAGGTCATACATTTTTTGGCTTTCAGCAAAGGTTACCTGAAGCAACCCCAAGAGTCCCTTACTAAACTAGAATAAAGCTGCGCACTAAAAATTTCTTCTAGAGCCAAGGGTTAGGAAAAAACTTTGATTTCCCTCAAAATCTACAATGGTTTCCCCCTCACTCCCCTGACCCAATAATGAGAGCCATGTTTCACTTTGGCTGCCAGGAAACCAGAAGCTGACTTTTTTCAGCAACAATAACCGTAGTATCTGTACGTCCCCTGTTTCCTAATCCCACTCCACACTGCCCTCTTCCTCTAACTTGTTTTTCCTGCTCCTGGCTTTTCGGTAGCTTTTACCACCTCACCTATATGCATTTTCATTGTGAGCTGCCTCAAAACACTTGGAGACTGAGGTGAGGGTGCGTGCCTGTTTAATTTCTGTCATGTCTGACTCTTTGCGACCCCATGGACTGTAGCCCACCAGGCTCCTCTGTCCCTGGAATTTTCCAGGCAAGAATACTGGAGTGGGTTGCCACTTCCTGTTCTAGGGGATCTTCCCAATCCAGGGATCAAATCCACATTTCTTATGTCTCCTGCATTGGCAGGCAGATTCTTTACCACTGTGCCACCTGGAGAAGCCCAGATGAGGATAAGAGTAGTTTAAAAACAAGACAACACATGGACAGTGCAGGGTGTGGCCTGAGAGGGTCTTGCCTGGGCCCCATCTGGCCTCTCTTCCTGAGAGGGAGCCTGAGAAATGTGTCCACTGTCCTGCCCTAGTTTATTCACTTCCGATTGGAAGCTGGGCTCTAACCAGCCAGAGGAGGTGTCCCAGCCTATCAGCCTGAGTAGGGGGGACCCAGCATCTCCTGTCTGTCTCAGGCCAAAGCAGTGGGATGAGGACTGCCCTTCCAGGCATGACAGTGTTATTCCCCAGGGACCCCCTACTCGGGGACAAAGGACTCCAGGGAGCTCCACTCCTGGAGAGGGAGCTGCAGAATCTTGATGCCTGGAAACGCTGTGGACAGGTCCCCAAGGTGGGGGCAGCTTTGGTTTTGAGCCCCGAGAATTCCAACCCCAGCTCTGCCAGGGTACCCCTGCTCAGGGCTTGCTTAGTGAGGGCCCCAAGCCATCAGTAGGCTCCTTCTCCTTCTCCTCACCCACACCACTCACCTCCAGCACATTCTTCTTGCTGGATTTGTCTTTGGGGGCCCAGGCGAGAGAGGCCCCCTTCAGGTCCACCGTGAACTCAGGGGTGGAGAACTTGGAAGGCTGCCTCTGTGGAGAAGGGAAAAAGGGTTGAAGGGAGTATGGTTTCAGGACACCCTCGGCTCAGCTCCGGTCTGTCACAGCATCCTGGCTCCAATCCACCAGGCTCCCTTGGCTCTAGGCACAACGGGGGTCATGGCTCTGGAGGCAAGGGACCCAAGAGTTCCTAGAACCATGGAGCCTGGGGCTGGCTGGTTGTTTGCTCTCTGCCCACCTAGGAGAGGAAAGGAAAAAGGAGTGCAGTCCCATCTCTGCGAGCAGGTACGTCCGGTTTCCAGCTTCCCTGCCCACCAGACTGGAGTTGCCCATCCTCAAGGACTGGTTCCCACACCCGATGTGGCTGGACCTGCTTGTCCTGGGGTGACCTGCTCTCATTGCCCCCTGCCAAGGCCCAGCTCCCTGGACCCTCACATTCCACGGTCTCAGACCTAGCCTTTGGCAAACCTTATTAAGCAAAGCCGCTCAGGAGTCAGGAGCAGATGGGGTGGCCCCTGCCCTGGAGGTCTGGGCCTTACCAGGCCACCGGCAGCTGAGTTTTTCGAGTCTTTGAAGAAAGTCAGGACTCCGCCCTCCAGCACTGTCCAGGAGGCGCTCCAGTGCTTCTTCCTGGGTAGTGGCAGTGGTGGCAGGGCTTGGGTTGGTCCTGGGTTGAGGCAGCCCCCCTCCACCCCCAGGAGCAGGGCACAGAGTTTAAGAACACAGCTTAGGGCACCCAGCCATGAGAGGCGGACTCCCAGGGCTAACACCTGGTAGTCAAGGGGTCTTGGGCAAATCATGTCTCTGTGTCTCAGGGTCCTCACAGGACCTCATAAAGGGTTAATAAGAGCTTGGCATACTAGAGGTGCTCAGTGAACATCATCATTAAGGCCCACCCTGGGGTCTGGAGGCAGCTGAGCTCTCACCGGAGCCGCTTTCCTTTGTCCACTATCTTGGTGCGATGGAGCACGCCTGCCTTGTCCAGGGTCTTGATCTTAGAGAAAGAGAGCGAAGGAGGAGGCAGTTAAGGGGAGGAACCACTCTCCCTCTTAGCCAGCAGCTCCCTACAGGTTGGGCCTGAGTCTCCACTGAACCCTCTTTGCTGGCATCTGGCCAGTGGTGGGGGGGTGCTTGCTCCCACAGAAGCCCCAGCAGCAGGAGAGACATCCTTCCAGCCCCCAGCCTTGTCCAGCTCTGAGCCTGGGACAACTCAGAACCCAGGTTCCTTTAGCCCACGGTAGTGCTTGGGCTTATGGAGGAGATGTGCCTCCAGACCTAATCGTAGATCCTCCAGAAACACCCCAATTTTTCTGTGGGGTCCTGCCAGGTCCTACATGCCCCCTCCCTTACCTTCTCTTCTGGGGGGGTGGCCTGGGCTGGGGTCTCACTGTTCTGGTTGGATTTGTGGATGTTTCGAGGGGCAGGGACGGGGACTGGGACCTGGGGAGAAAGACACTGTCATATTGAGCCCCCACCTCTCTCCCAGGCACTCTCCTTTCCCCAGGTAGTTACCTGGGGCAGAGCCCACTGAACGGAGGTGTCATCTGGGTTGTAGAAGTAAGGCTTCCCATGTTGGTTCTCCAGCCTCACCCACTGTGGGGAGAGGGATGGTCAGGCCGCTTAGCTCACAGGACAGGGGAACAAAAGTTTCCCTCCAGAGCCCCAAGGAGTTTAGAGGGGCAGGCGTGGGACACACAATCTTGGGCTGGCATGGAGCCCGGGCGGGAACTTCAGCATAGAGTGGTAAGGGGAGCGACCCCACGGCTGTCTGCGCCCATCTGCCCGCTGCCCCTACCTGTTCTTCGGTGATGTTGTTGGTGTACACCGTCTGCCCATCTGGGCTCACATGGCGAGACCAGCCTGGGGGTGTGACAAAGGGAGAGGCGGGGCCGGGCTCACTGAGGGAGCCCACGGGGGAATAGTCTTCCTCTGGGTAACTGGTCAGCAAATCGGGGTAGTCCGTCTCGGGGGTGGGGGGCTGCAAGGAGCAGAAGAGACAAATTCTCAGAGCCAGGAGTGACACCTGGCGCCCCGCCCTTTCGGCCCATGCCACGCCCCCCACCCTAGTTCCCCCAAGTTGAGAGAGGCGGGGTCAAAGGCCCGCAGTGATAGCCCCACCCACCGACGACCAAGGCCCCTCCTTCTCGGACCCCAGGGCTGTGCGGGGGCAGGAGGCGGGGTCAGAGGCCCTCAGAGTCAGCCCATCCTGACAAGGCCCCGCCCCTCACCCTCTGGTCCCTGGGGCTGCTAGGGCTCAGGCCCGGCTGCATCTCCTGCTCGTCCTCCGGCTGGTCCTCGAATTCGTCCTCCCAAGCCGTCTCGCCCGTCAGCGGGTTGTAGAAGAACACCCTGCGGCTCTCCTCATCCCAGTACTGGCCCCACTCGGTCTCGAGGCTCTCGTGGCTGCCCACTGAGGCCGGGGACGTGGCCGGACTGGCGGCGCCCTCGGCAGCCTCGAAGGGCGACTCCCAGGTGGTCACGCCCGTCTCCGGGTTGTAGTAGTAGGGGCGCCCGGTGCCCGCGTCCGTGTGTGTCTCCCACACCGAGTCTCCCACACTGCGAGGGGCGGCGGCAGCGCAGGGCGATGTGGCCGGAGGCTGCCTCTCTACGTTCGCGTACACGGGCTCCGGGGGCTCGTCCACCTGCTCGAGGAGGAAGGAGGCGTGACCTTCGGGCCTGCTCAGCGGTCACACTGTCCCCACTCGCACACTCGCCACTCAGGCGACTTTCAGCAAGTCTCAGCACCTCTCGGCCTCGGCTTCCCCAACTGCAAAATGTCTGCCCTGCCCTCGCTCCGGAAGTCGTAGTGAAGACAGAATGAGGACTTGTTCTGGAAAGTGCTTTGCAAAATATGAAGTGCCCCAGAAGCGTGGGGTAGCTACATTAATTATTAACAATTGGAGAAGGAAATGGCAACCCACTCCAGTATTCTTGACTGGAGAATCCCAGGGGTGGAGGAACCTGGTGGGCTGCTGTCCATGGGGTTGCACAGAGTCGGACACGACTGAAGTGACTTATTAACAATAGTAAAATACTAACAGCTAAATTCTCCCAGCTGCACACTCACAGGTTTGAGTCAGACTGCGCAGGAACAGCGAAATGGCCTCAGGACACTTGGGGGCAGGGCCCTGCTGCCTTCTACAACCGCCACCAAGAACACCCAGCCCTCCCTCTTCCTTCGCCAAAAAAGGTCCGGAACTGGAGCCCACACTGCTGCCTCTGGTTTGGGGTTTGGAACTGACACTTCCCCAACACAGGGATTGCAGACCTCAGAATCAATTCCAGACAAGAGAAAGGGAAAGCGCCAGACGGGAAGGAAGAAAGAAGGGCAAAAAAAAAAAAGGGTATGCGTCTCTCCCCACCCAACCAAAGCAAAGTGAAGGGGGAGAGAGAGGCGGGGTCAAGAGTCAGATCCGCCCACTCTGGCTAGGCCCCGCCCCTCAGATGAGGCCCCTCCCCTTACCCTCTGGAGGGTCCAGTTATACAGACTATAAATCTGGTCATGCTTAAAGGCCGCAGGGTTCCCTGCTGCCTTCTGGGCAAAGTCTAAGCCCTTACCAGGGCACCAGAGGCCGTCCATCACCTGACTGTCTCCCCCCCATATTTCCTGCCACTCCTGGCCCTTACCTTGAACTTTAAGCTCCAGCAGCACCCAGTGGCTGGAGGCCCCCACCCTCTCTGCTGAGTCTGCTACAGACGTCAGCTCATTCACACCCTGAACCTCTCCCTACCCCTTTCTCACTTGGCTGACTCCTATTCCTCCTTTAGCACTCAGCTCTGATGTCAGGTTTAAGATCTTTCCTGAGATTTATCCTGTGTGACCACCACACCCAGCCTGCTGCTGCTGCTGCTGCTGCTAAGTCGCTTCAGTCGTGTCCGACTCTATGCAACCCCATAGACGGCAGCCCACCAGATGCCCCTGTCCCTGGGATTCTCCAGGCAAGAACACTGGAGTGGGTTGCCATTTCCTTCTCCACTCACACCCAGCCTAGTACCCATTAAAAAGAAAAATAATGACACTATCAAACTCCAGACAGCAGAATAGCATGAGATTAATACTGTGTTCTAAGAATGCATAATGGTACAAGGGAAAAGCAGATTTCAAAATGGTAAACTCAGGGACTTCCCTGGTGGTCCAGTGGTTAAGAATCCACCTTTTCATGCAGGGAACAAAGATTTGAACCCTGTTCAGGGAACTAGGATCCTGAATGCCAAGGAGCAACTAAGCCTGTGTGCCACAACTACTGTGCTCATGAGCTTTAAATCCCATGAGCCCCAACTAGAGAGAAGCCTGTGCACCCACATGCCATAATGGAGATTCTGTGTCCTTGCTGCCACTAAGACCCGATGCAGCCAAATAAAAAAAAAATTTTTTTTAATAGTAAACAGTACAATTTCTATTTTTAAAGTAACTCCCTGAAATGTTAACAGAGGTTATCTCTGGGTTGTGTAATTATAGGAATTGGATTTGGTTTTGTTTCATTTTTTCTTTTTTGCAGCAACAAATTTTTTTTTTTTTTTTACAATAAATCTCTTAAAAAAAAAAAAAACACAAATCATAGAAGTTCCTCCACTGCTGTAACACCTTCACTCAGCTATAAATTACTCAGGAGGGGAAGTGTGTCCTGCTCAATGCAACCTCTCACTGGGCCTGCAAAGGCACCCATTTGGCCAGCAAAGATCTGCCTGCTCTGTGCCGGGCACAGGTCTGGGCACTGGGAATGCAGCTGTGGACAATCAGACACAAATCTGCCCTGGTGGAGCTGCTACACTAGTGCACACGCGTGTGAATGGTGGTGGGGTGAACAGGGAACCCAGCAGAGTGGTCAGGAAATGCACTGCGCCTCGGTGATGACTGCTGCTGACAAGAAAGCAAAAATAGAAGGGGGTGTTACCAGTTTAGATAGTGTGACGGGTCCCAGGCCTGGAAGTGGCAAGAAGACTTGAGCATTCCTCCCAGTCCACTCTGCTCCCTCGCCCCACAAACTCCTGTCTGGATGAAATGGGACCTTCCACATCACTTCTTTTTTCTCTCTGTCCACAACAGCTCTCCTGTGGCATCCTGTATTCCAACCACACCGGCCTGCTGACCCTCCCCCAAACATAAAGGGCATCTTCTTAAACCAGTTCTCCCCCACCCCTGTCCTGTGCCTTTGCTCCAGATGTTCCCACCCTCTGGAACCACCCTGGTCTCAATTCCCCGTGTCCTGATCCTCTGCTGGTGCTCAGCTCACAAGTTTCACCTGGAGGAAGCATGCTCCCTCCGGTGAGAAGTCTAACCAGCTGGCACTCTGCTTAGTCACTCTGTTCGGCCCAGTGTCATTCTACCTTGGTGGTCCATTCATTGTCCATCCATCTGTCTACCTTCTCTGCCCCCTCAAAGGCAGGAGATTCTTGAGATCTAGACCTGGGATGATGTAACTGACCACAGTTGACGCCCCCAGCAGATGATCCAATGGCTGAGGCACACAGCCAATCCACCAAAAACACTTACTGCTTGAGTGAAAGTGATAGTGTTATTCACTCTTTGTGATCCCATGGACTATAGCCCACCAGGCTCCTCTGTCTGTGAGATTCCCCAGGCAAGCATACTGGAGTGGGTTGCCATTCCCTTCTCCAGGGGATCTTCCCGACCCAAGGATTGAACCTAGGTCTCCTGCATTACAGGCAGATTCTTTACAGTCTGAGACACCAGGGAATGCAAGTCAATTCCATGCCAAACTTAGCGACAAACAAAAACCAAGCATACCTAGAACTTGTGTGCCGAAACTAGAGTCTGTGAGCTGCGACGAGAGATCCTGCAGGCTGCAACTAGGACCTGACACAGCTAAATAAATATTAAAAAAAAAAAGAAAGAAAGAAACACAAACACACCTGACACTACAGGAGAGACTGGGGTTAGCTCTGAGCAAGAACTTCCTGAAAATGAGCATTCAGGCACAGAAACCAAGAAAATCCTTGGGAGGACAGGATGGAGGCAGCAGGTGGAGGCAGGTGGATAATCAGACATACCTCCTACCCACCCCAGCTGGACCCACTGCGGCAGTGGCCTTGCTCGTCCCTGGGACAGGAGCTAGAAGGGAACCAATGAAGGAGACAGGCTCTTGGACATGGGGATTTGCACTTGGCCAGGCTGCTGGCCTTGGCTGAGTCCACGGGGAGTCCCAGGCTGGTCAGGCTGATGGGAATCTTGTACAAGGAACACCCCCAGCTGGTACAGAGGAGATTTGGGAGGTAGAAAGTTAGGCCTTCCATGTGACAGGGCTGTCAGCAGGAAGAGAAGACACAGAATTACACCGTGGGGCTCCAGACTGCAATCTGAGGCCAAACGGGGGTCGGGCAATGCCCCTTAGAGGGAAGCGCAGTCTAAGGATTGGCGCTGCCCCAGAGACACAGGCTGCCTGGGCAGGTTGTGAGGGGCCTTCTTGTGAGGTAGGCAAGTGGAGTCCAGTCCCTGCTAGGGTTGCCGCAGCCCTGCAGAAAGAGCTGGGCTGAAGTAGCCCCGAGGCCCCTTCAAACTCTAGAACTCTCTGTACAGCCCCCACAGTGCTACTAATAAAACAGAGGTGGCTTCCTCTCCTGGCGCAGCCACAGCCAGGTGCAGACCGGCTCTTGGAAGCCAGGCGGAACCAGGCTCTCCAGGCCCTCAGGCCTTCCAGGGGGAGCTCGGCCAGACTGGAGTGGGGCTGCCTCCCTGCCCCCAACTCCTGGAGGCGCAGGCCAGATGCGGACACAGCCCGTCCCCACACAGACACCCCTGCCTGGGGCACCAGGGGCTCTGGGGGCCCACACGGCAGGCAGGTGAGAGACACAGGGGACACTGAAGGGGAACGAAAAAGTGGTCTCCCACCTCAGAACCGAGAACAGAGCCAAGAGGGGCCCGGCTGTCACCACACCCAGCTACCCAGGTCCCCCAGCCCCCCAGCCGTTCTCATCACCAGTCTCTTTCCTTTGCCCACAAGCAGGTGACAGGCTTGCCCCTTTCTCCGCCCCCCCTCCCCACTGTCCACCATCCCCAGGCGGATCACCGCCTCTCAGCATCCCTATGGCACCCCCCGGGAGAAGGAAAGAGGAAAGAAGGGAGGAGTCCCAACCTCCGTGAGGCTCCCAGTTCCTGACTCTGCTCCCTGAGCTCCTAACGGAGCCAGAGGACGGAGGCCCGACCGGCAGCCCCTGGGCCCCACAGGCCCCTCTGCCATCCCCATCAGAGGCTGAGCTCACGCCCGGTGCCAGGGTCCCCTACCTGTCCCCACAGCTCCCAGTTCCTGACTCTGCTCCCTGAGCTCCTAACGGAGCCAGAGGACGGAGGCCCGACCGGCAGCCCCTGGGCCCCACAGGCCCCTCTGCCATCCCCATCAGAGGCTGAGCTCACGCCCGGTGCCAGGGTCCCCTACCTGTCCCCACAGCTCCCGACTCTTCCTCTTGGTCAGTTTGGCGATGATGTCCACCATCCTGTTCCCTCTGAGCTGCTGGGATGCAGCCCTGGGAAGGCTCTGGGGGTGGAGTTAAGGGGTACAACCCCAAGACTGGCACAGGCAACAGGGAAACAAGAAGTTGCCTTGAGATGGCGGGAGGCTGAGCCTCCAGCCCATTTCCTGTCAGGGCTGCGGAAGTGTTGCCTGAGACGGAGGCTGCCTGAGAC